CTCCCTCTCTATCCCTCTATCTACCTACCTACTTTTTTTTAAAATTTGCCTCTTCAAAACCTTGGTGCATCTTATACTCTAAAAAATACAATATGTGACACATTATTCTCTGCTATTGCCCAATATAATAGCTTGTATAGCAAGATTTCCTGTTGGAAATAAATCAGATTTTTTTTTCCCCTTACAATTATTTATGTAGTTAAAGAAGCTGCCACGTACTTATAGATCTCCTAATCTATTGGCAGTATTAATAGAACTGAGATTGGGCTCTTTTTTTCCTCTTTTCCTCCAAATATGTCCAGATAAATACACACTGAGAAATATATATACAAAGATTAATATATCTCCAAATCAAGGGTATAATAGTTAAAGATACTGGGTTTGAAACTGTCCTAATTCTCAAATAGGTGCAAAACTAGCTGGGTGACTTTGGTCCGACAGGACACTTCAGAAAATCTTATCAGGAATTAGGACTTACTCAAAATATGCATTTTCTTATAATATTCAAAAACATACTAGGTCAAGGGACCTGCAAGAAATGGTTATGAAATTTCAAGCCAATATTTCTGCCATGTTCCTAAGTACCAGAACCAAATAGAAGTTTATAATTCATAGTCTTGAAATGAATTATTTTACCAGTGTCTTGTGTGTTAGTGGATTTAACATGTATGACACAAAAACAGAGGAAAATATCTTCACAGATTTTCAAAATAGCAACGGGTGGTATGAGCTACCCATAGCAATGCATTTATTTTCTGTAAATAGGCAAAGTTATAAGGAACAGGTGTAAAGGAGAACTAATTCTTGTTTCTGTTTTTCTACAAATAAATCAGAAGTTGCTCAGAACTATAATTATGCATATTACCTTAGATTTCAATTCACTTATTAACAGTCTACAAGATAAAGCTGGCCTTTACAGCACACAATTTTCATTTCATAATTGTCTAGTTCATTTTCTCTTTCTGCATTTAATGGAAGACCTTCCACTTACTTATTTCAAACCCATTGTATCACTAACTATTTTATCCCTATCCCTTTGTTCAACTTTATATAAACTGTGAATAAATAACTGTTTCACACCAAGGAACATACTTTTTTCTCTCCTTATTTCTACTGGTAATATGAGGACCACAACATAATGGATGCTGTCCAAAGTCCACAGAAATGTTTTTGACTTGTATTTCAAATATGTCACTCATTATAAAGACATCTATGATATTCTTCATAAAGACATAGCAATAGCACTTAAACTTATATGTCATTTATATACCGCTCTTTACAGCACTCTCTGGGCAATTTACAATATAAGAATTTTGCCTACAAAATCTGGCTCCTCATTTTACTGACCTCTGAAGGATGAAAGGCTGAGTCAATCTTGAGGCCTGCCAGGATCAAACTCTAGGCTGTGGGCAGAGATTGCCAGCAGTATTGCATTTTAACCATTGTGCCACCAAAGCACATTCCTGACACACTGCACATAAAAAAGCTGATTATGTTGATATATTTAGTCTTTTCATCATATGCTTCCATGAAAATATTTATTTGTATGTAACATTAAAGCTTAAACACAACAACCTTACATTGGACAAAATTGGATTAATAAGTGAATATAACTACCAGATATTAAAGTGAAAGAATATTCAGAAGTCTGTACATACTATAGAAATGGCACTTGTTATAGAAATTAGGTAACTAACCCTTCTTTGTTGACATTGATTCCTTCTTTTTCTTTTCTTCCAGTCTGATAACAGGATATTTTAATTTTCTTAAAGTTAAACGAAATTCTTTAAGATTGTTCATGTCTATAATCTGTTAAAATCAACATTTCATTCATTAAAGATTTGTGAGAGACAAATGCCAGAATTCTTCAAACAATAACATTTGTATTGTCACAGATTTTTTATTAACTTTATTACTGCACGTGTAATAGTGCAGTAAAATTATGCCACTCTTTTCCTTCATTTTTAGCCTTTTTTGGAGAGGGGGGAATTGTTTGTCTCTCTAGGCAGCATCATGGTTTTCATGGATGGATGAATGCTTGTTCCAACCTCACACCTCTATGCTCCTTGAATAAATTCCAGCTTTTAGACTAAACATCCCTTTCAGTCATCATCTGTTACACCAAGATGCATTTCTTTGCAGCGAGTACATGACAAGGGCACCTTAGCTTTATCTGTGCAAATAAACAAGAAAAGCTCTTAGTCTGAGCAGAAGCACATGCTACTCCTAGGGCATTTTAAAATAACTTCAGAGCTGCTTGAGTTGAAAAGCTCTGTTTACACATATCTACAAGTAGAAGCTACAGTTAAATGCAGATTTCAGCCTTTATAGTCGTTTATCAGTGGAAGACATGGAGGGAGAGTATTGTTTAACCGGCTTCATTAACATAAATGCTTATAACCAATCGAGAAGGTAATTCTTAGTTGCCATATTTGGGAGGGGGGTGGAACAAAGATAAGAGTTTCTGAGGTCAGCAATGCCCAACTGCATTCTTGATGGCAGAATGAATGAAGTGAAAGAGAAATGGGCTTTGTTGCCATTCTTCCCATTTTAGTTATTTATTCTTAAAAGGAATTTCCTGTCACTGAAACCAATGGAATGAGTCAACCTAAATTACATGCCCATTGAAAAGGGAAAGACTTTGGATATAATAGATCTACACTATCTCCCTTGCCAGGTAAGTATAGTATTCCCTTAGCACATTTTGGTTTCTTTCCAATAACTGAACGCTCAGTGGGATGGGATGGCCTTAAAGCAAATGGTGAATTGATTCCCTCCATTAGCTTTATCTCCTTGAACATGGAAGGATGAAACCTAAAAACCATATAGAGCTTACCGTATATACTTGAGTATAGGCCGACCCGAATATAAGCCGAGACACCTAATTTTACCACAAAAAACTGGAAAAGTTAGTGACTCGAGTATAAGTCTAGGGTGCGAAATGCAGCAGCTACCGGTAAATTTCAAAAATAAAAATAGA